TTTGATCTATCTCAATGGTTCATTTCATAAGTGAAATAGTATAATGCATAATAAAAATTGTATAATATATAGTATTAAAATAAATAAATACATATAAGTACCTTGTAATAAAAATGATTAAGAACTATTATAAGCAGGGCTATGTTTATAGCATACACACACACACACACACACATATATGGCCTGTCCAGAATGTATCCAGCCATGTACTATGAACAATAGAGACATTTATTGAAGAAGATACAAGGTACAAGAAATATTTTACATAGGGTAATGATATCTCAGTCCCCTTCAAAATAGGCACCTTGTGACCTCACAGTTTTCCCAATTGCCATCAGCTACCCCATCGAATTTTCCAGAATCTCATGGATAGTCTGAAATCGCTTCCCTTTCAAAGGTGATTTTAGTTTTGAGAAAAAACAGGTCACGGGGCACCAAATCTGGGCTGTTGAGGGGCTGAGTCACCTGGTGATTTGATGTTTTGTCAAAAAACTCTGCATGAAATGTAATGCATGAGTGGGGCATTGTCATGATGAAGCTGCCAATCACCAGTTGTCCATAGCTGTGTCCTTCTGAATCATTCAAATAGTTTTTGCACAGGAATGCTCAAGTTTAACACAAAATTTGATGCAGACTTTTTGCTATACTGACTTAAGTTATTTTGAATGCAAAGGCCACACAGTACACATACCCACTCAATGCTATCTACCTTCACCACTGACTAGTACAGTGAAGTCATCATTGTTCATACCTGCATATTCCAGTTCACCCTCCTTGGCTGCCAGGTTACATTGAGGCCGTGCAAAACATTCTCCTTATACTAACAATGGCTGGATGTTTTCCAGATAGACCTTGAATGTTCATGGGAATTACTAGTGCATTCATAATAAATTAACTATAATAAGGTCTTCCTATTCATTAGACCTAGCAAATTTGAGAGAGATATGGAATTGTTCTGTTTTATGCAGTAAGCAATTAGTGAATAACAGAAAAGACAATCAAAGAAAGCTTTATGTCTGAAAATATTGCACTACAAACATATTAAACTTGAAGTTTGGGAAAAATCTGTTTTACGAAAGAAGAAAAAGGAAGTGGATTACTAAGAAACATGAATGACAGCTTCTGCATGTAACAGAATATAATACCACAAGATATTTCATTCTTTATGTGCTTATAGGTAAAGTGGGCAACGTAAAACAAAGGAAGGTAGCTAAACAACCACTTGGGGTGGTCTGGAAACTGTATTTAAAATTTGATGCAAATACAGAGAGAAGGGAAGACATGTAGAAAAGTAAATATTGAGGTATTATTGGTATCATTGTAATTATTATCCAGGACCAACTTAAAACTTCTTTTCACCCTATTTTTAGTAAGGACCTTGTACACTGCTTAAATAAGAACACTGAAGATTAAAAGACTTGAGACAATGCCATATATTTCTTAAAATTGCAGGACCAAAATTTATATTGTGTTTGCCATTAAGAGAATGATTTCAACCACCCTTCATTGATGTGCAGCTAAATTTAAGATTTTTTTGGTTTAAATCATCAGGCATTGTATAAGGTATTAAATAGGCATAAAAAAGGAAAGCAATGCTACAAAGAATATTACTGAAAGTCATTAAGAGCAAATAGGGTTGGAGCCTTGAACTTAAAAGAGAAACATAGAACGACTTGATAAAGAGTGCAAAGTGATGTAAAGAGCCCAAGAAGAGATTCTGAAACAGGCTGCTAAGAAGCACATCCTCAGGTAGATCTTTGCGTTTGCGGAAAGAGTGCTTCAACTTGCATTCATTCTTATCACTTTTTCCCCTTTCCACCCTGTCAGGCTCCATTTAATAATGAATAAAAGTTATCAAAGTGTATTTACAAGGTACCATACCATGGACTGGTGAATTTAACTTGGCAATTTTCTGATGAGGGAATGATATGGGCAGGAACCTGCAGACACTCTTGTAAGCTGATTTATAGAGCACTGCTGGTTTCGATCTTTGGAAAGATTAGCTGCTCTGACTTTCAGACTAACGTGAGCTGCTTTAAAGATTAAACAAGGTACAGGTTTTAATGGACTTTTATCCATATCCTGCCCTCTGAGTCAGGTTAAGACCCATTGAGTCAAATAGTTTAGGTTTTAAATTGCTATTATTTACAACATAAAACATAGTCATGAAGCAACTCAGATTTGCAATGCTAATCTGAAGGATCAAAAAACTAGATGAATGCAAACATTAATGTATCCCAGCAAAAGTCTAGATTGCATTAGAAAACAAATTCAAGGAAAAAAGTAAAAGTTAAATGGAATTTGTTAACTGTCAAGATTATTTTTAATATATCATCGCTACCCTTTATAAAAGTAAAACAATCATCCTATCTTGAAAATACCTATTCTGTGTGTGTGCACAATATAGAGTGAAGAATGTTAACTATATGTGCATGCACATACATATATGTCAATTTCCCTTTATTTTTACTAAACAAATAAACAAATTAATTGAAGCCATGCAGGGTGGTAAAATCCTCACTGTCCTTAATCCCACAGAATATACTTGTATTTCAGATCAAGCATATATTCAAACCATTCACTGTCACCTTCACTTTTTAAAGTCAATGATGCTCCATAAGCAAGGCCACCCCCACACACACATATATACACATACATCCCTGAGTCTATCACAGTAGAAATTTATCTGCAACCACTGTCTTTGTCTTCCTGTCTGATTTCTCATGGAATAAGGCATACTGCCGCCATGGGTTGTGTCTTTCCACCTACGATCAAGATTCTAAGCAGGGCCATCTCTGTCTTAGTTCAGTTATTAAAAATCAGTTATTCTGTCTTTTGTATGCTCAGTTTCTTATTTCTATTGACCCTTTACCTATCTGCATGGAAACAAACTTTCAAGTTCTTCCATTTACAATGAAAATGTTCATTTCATCATGTTCTCATTAATTTGCTTCATAACTTTTCTCCACCACTTTATTATCAAGTTTCCCAAAGAGGATGGTGTGATTTTTCTTTTTTTTCTCCATTTCCTTTATTCACATTTTCTCTCCAGCACACTGAATTTGTTCTTTTCTTTATTGTAGCAAAGAAAAATATATGTTTTCTCCAACCAAGCATGTAAAATAAGTAATTGTCCAGACTCTGAAGGCAGACTCCCAAAATCAGTTTTCTGTTGATAAATTCTACTTGGCTCCAATTTTTTATCTCTCCATGATTCAGTTTCGTAGTCTTGACCTAACTTCTTTAGATGTGATTTGGTTTATTTTTTTTATCAGTGAAGCTAATGACACTTTTATATTTAATGTGCAAGTGAGTTTTAAAGAAATGTTAACAGGTCTCTTATCTCAGCTAATCAAGACACAAAAAGTACCTCAAACCTTTCCCGACACTGAGAAAACACCCTCAATAAATACTAGTTGCTGCTATTATTATGTTGAAAATAATGATGATGATCAGATGATAATGATGGTGATCTGAAAACTGCTAGTGACAACCACTCTGTCCTCTCTTTTAACAAATAAAATTAATATTTATGACCTTAAATTGATTTAAAGTTCTAGAATGTTCACATTTTATCCATCACCATTTTCCACCTATACTGTCTCCCTTAGAAATTTTCAATGCCAATATTCTCTCCTAGTTTTAAATTTTTCATCCAAAACTGTATTTCTCTTCTGTATTCTACTTGTTTTTTTAAATATTGGTGTTATGTTGATGTTTTTAGGATTCAGAGTTTATATTTCAGAAGGAACTGGTCTATTTGCCTGAATTTCCCTGAGTGAAAACCATTCAAAGGAATGAAAAACAGGCAATACCTTCCTCATCTTTTTATCCATATTTCCATCTGTGTTCTGAACATATTCTACAGTAGAATACTTTGTAGTACTTGCTAAAAAGGCCAATCCCTGGGCCCCACTCACTTCACCCTTTCTGAATCAAAATATGGGACAGGTAGTGCCTAGGGATCTAAATAGTAGTAGATTTTAAAGATGAAATCACTAAACATTTAAAGACTGAGCTACACTGCACTAGGAGTTACATTTAAATTGTTTGTTGGGAATTTTCTGAGTTCCACTTCACTTTTATAAGGACATGAGAATTATGTACTCTTAAAAGAGAAAAGATTCAACCCGATGGCAAATTCTTAAGGGGAAGGGTTGTTAAGGAACGTGCATAAAGGACCCATAGACAAAGACAACTGAGGGAGGAGGACTGAATGTGGGAGGTGGGAGTGGGTGGGGCAGGGGAGAGGAGTGGGGGGGAAATGGGGACAACTGATTGAACAATATTTTTTTTAATTTTTTAAATTTTATTTATTTATCTTCAGAAGGGAAGGGAAGGAGAGAGGAGAGAAATATCAATGTATGATTGCTTCTCATGCATCCCCTTCTGGGAACTGGCCCCTACTGGGAACTGGCTTGCAACCCAGGCATGTACCCTGACTGGGAATTGAACCATAATCTTTTGGTTCGCAGGCCTGTGCTCAATCCACTGAGCTACACCAGCCAGGGCTAGTTTTTTTTGTTTTTATGTTTTTAAATAACAAAAAAGAATGGGGGATAAGGGCAATGGTTTCACCAAAGCTGGCTTGATGGATCTAAGACCATCAAGTACAAACTTATATCTTAAAGAGTGTTACCTAACATGATGAAAAAGTTTAAATTAGGTAGAAAAGCCTCCTAATGTTACCAAATTACTACAACATAGTGTAGTGATTTTAATAGAACTGATATGGTGATAAACCTGTTATCTGAAAACAAAGATGAGGGGCACATTCAAAGTGTATTCTAAATCATATCTTTTCAAAACATAAAATATACTTTATAAGACAGTATCCAAAGACTCAGTCACATGTTGCATAATTGAAAGCAATGACCTTTTAAAGAGGAAATATTTTTTATCATCTAATGACCTGTTAATATGGATTAATCATACCTCTTCCAAATTTCTATTCATGGAAAAATGAGTTACCTAAATCAATTACATTATTTTCACTTTACCTTCTTTAAGAACAGGATCCCTTCTCTGGTCTCTTTGTCAGTAGAGATGGTGAATATCCCAATACCATCACCATTAATGATGGAGTATGTCATGTCAGCATTTGAACCAGTATCTGCATCATTTGCCTTGATTTTCCCAACAGCAGAACCAACTTGAGCTGACTCAGGAACATACAGCTGATAGTGCTCTGCAAAATATTTTATATTAAACATTTCGATGATAATGTTTATATTTTATAAGAAAATGCATTAATTATTTAGAAAATTCATTTAAATAAACATTAAATTAAGTAATGCATAAAATAAAGTTGTTTTCAAATATTAAATATTATTGGGTTGTCTAAAAAATCTTTATGCTTTTTCACATAAAATGACAGACATGTTTTTTATTTTCACCAATAAGTTTATTGATTTGGATATTTTAAGTATGTCAGCCATCTCCCATGTGGTACAATGTTGATCATTCTCAATTAACGTCACAATTTGATCACTGTCAACTTCAACTGGTCTACCTGACCGTGGAGTATCGTCCAGTGAGAAATCTCCAGCGTGAAACTTCACAAACTACTTTTGACATGTTCAGTCAGTCACAGAACCTTCCCAATATACTTGCATACATTTGCATTTCAGTTATGTTTTTACCTTTCTTGAAATGATAAAACACAATATGCTGAAAATATCAATTTTCTTCCATCTTTAGTATTAAAATAGTTACACAAAAAGTCACCAATTTTGATGTTTTTTTTAACGTACACTGACATTACAGCTGTCAGTATATAATCTAACAAAATTGTTAGAAAGATACAGGATGTCAAATGAAGTTAAAGATAACTAAGGGTTACTAGATCCATCTTACAGAAAAAAAAATTTTTTTGGCCAACCCAACAGTACACCACTTACTAATGAAATAATTGATTTATACAAACTTTAACACATATGCAAAATAGCCTACATGTAAAGAATTTGTAGATATCTGTATTAAAGCATTTTATCAACTCTTTACCTGTAAACAACAGAAAGATAGATGAGGGAAGTTTTCATTCTTAAGTTGAGCAAAAACAAACATAATACCTACTCAAGTACTCGCACAATCCCCAATCTTTCTTTCTCCAAATAACATGTGAAATTCAAAGTGAAAACAGGAAAAAAAACATGTATGTAATTTTTTAAAGATTTTATTTATTTATTTATTTATTTATTTATTTATTTATTTTAGAGAGAAGGAAAGGGAAGGAGAGAGAGAGGGAGAGAAACCTCAATGTGCCCCTCATGTGCCGTCCACTGGGGACCTGGCCTGCAGCCCAGGCATGTGTCCTGACTGGGAAACAAACCAGCGACCCTTTGGTTCACAAACCCATGCTCAATCCACTGAGCTACACCAGCCAGGCTTATGAACGTGGTTTTTATTTTGATCAATAAACTTATTTTGGTGCATATATGGCTTGATGCATAAGCTGTGACAAAAAATATAATAAATATTTTATACATGTATTTTCACTCATTTCCAGTCAGCTTCTAAAAATATTTAAAGTCATTTTATAATAAAGTCAAACATGGATTATTAAAATTAAAAATTAAGAATAGAGATAACAGCTACCCCAGCAACCCATATTCTGGGTATTTACACAAAACTTGAAAACAATTATTCACAAAATTATATGCACTCAATGTGCATTTCAGTTTTACTCAAGTTGTCAAGATGTGGAAACAGCCTAAGTGTCCTTTGGTAGATGACTGGATAAAGAAATTGGGGGGGGGGGATGTATGTGTGAGCATACATATATGGATAAAACTCAGTCATGAGGAAAAATTTACTACTGTCATTTGCAATAACATCAATAGATGTTGAGAATAATTTACTAAACAGAATAAGTTGACAGAAAAAGTTAAGAAGCATTTGATTTCACTCATATGTGGGATATAAAATTGAAAGCAGCTAATGAAAAACCAAACAAAAAAACAAACAAACAAAAACTCATAGACACACACAACAGTATTGTGGTCACCAGGGATAATCCATCTAATAATTTTATGGTGCAGTCCAGTCAGCATCTCTACTGTTGCCAAAATAATTCCTCAAGGTACTCTGTTTGAGTTCATGAGAAGGTTATGCACTGTGAGAATGTTACCACATTTTCAAGAACATTAAAGTAGATTAAAAAATACCACCCAGACTGCAATTTCACACATACACATAAACATATATAACCACACATATTATCTATACAAACACATATCGGTGTGTTAAATAGTATTTCCCCTCATGTATTAGCTTGAGACAGGAAGAGAAAGAAATAAGGACATAGAGGAACAAAGATACCATATATTTAATTTTTAGAAATAAATTTTATGGTTGGGTTCATAAGCACTTAATTCTTTTTCTTCTTTTTCTTTTCGATGGCACAGCACTTAATTCTTAATTCTCCCTACTCAAATTAAGGGGAGAGTTTTCCTAGCTCCATCCCTTTTCTTAGAGCATTTACTAGAGAAAACAGTTATTGTGTTAATAGTTATCAATAATGGAAAGATACTATATCTGTATCGTGTATACCTGAAACATTAAAAACACTGGAAACTGGTTGAAAAAGTATTAGTTACAGAAGCTCTGGAAAGAGTCGAAGGTCCATAGCAACCAAGGTCCATAGTAACCAAGCAGGACTCTGGCGGCACGTGCTCTGCCCCACCCCACCCCCAGGGCAGAGATCCCAGTCTGCAGGAAGTGTGGCTTAGGGCCCAATTCTCTCTGCACAAACATCAACAAAGATGACGAGACTTTAACCAGCATGACTAATAATGTGAGAGAAGATTCTTTTACTAAAATCAGAGACTAAGTGGAGATATAACCATAGATTTTGTAGAAAGAAAATAATTGTAAGAGAATACTATAAAATTGTACACTGACAAGACAGATAACTCAAAGGACGCTGACAGTGTTTTTGAAACACACAAGCTACAAAGACTGACTTATGAAGAAATTAAAATTGTTCTTATCAAAAATAAAATCAAAAGAAAATAAGAAGTGTTAACAAGCAGTAAAAAAATCAAAACACTTGTGCATTGCTGTTGCAAATGTAAAATAGTAAGTATTCTATGGAAAACAATATAGTAATACCTCAAAAATTAAACATAGAATTATCATTTTATCCAGTAATCCTACTTCTGGCTACACATGCGAAGAACTGAAGACAGTGACTTGAATATATATCTGCACAGCAATTTCACAGTAGTGTTATGACTAAAATGGAATCATCCCAAATATCCTTCAATAGTGAATGGCTAAACAAAATATAAATTAAATATACAATAGAATAGTAATGAGCCTTAAAAATGAAATGGTGATATATACCATAGTATAATGGAAGCTTGAAATAGTATGGCAAATGAAATTTAAAAAGGGCAAAAATTGTATAATTCTACTTACATGATGTAACTGGAAAAGTAAAATTCAGTGAGAGCAAGTTGAATAGTAGTTACCAGGTACCGAGCGGAGGGGAATGCGCAGAGTTAGCGTTCAAAGGGTATGACGTTTTGGTTTCTCAAAAGAAGAGAGTTCTGCAGGTGGATGGTATTGAGGATTGCACGGCAGTGCAAACGTGTGGACACCACTGGACTGTAATTATGATTAAGGTGGTAAATTTTATGTTATGTAGATTTTATCACATGAAGGTTAGGTCAAGATGTGAACAATTGCTATTTGAATCTCCCTTGAGAATGGTAACAATTGGGATACTATAAATGCAGGAATAATGTTACGACAGGGAGAAACACATAAAAGTGAGAAAGATAATATTACTACAACAACATATAATTTTCTCTAATATGTTAACTGTGCTCTGGTTTGCTGAGGGAGAAGCTGAAATAGGAGTCAGTGCAATAGGCATTATTGAATTTTAGACATCAAATTAATTGTAGAATATTAGTGAAGTTTTTTTCCTCTGTTTGAATATATGAAGTCTGTCCAGAAGGTATCCAGCCATGTAATATGAAAAATAGAGACATTTATTGAAGACGCTACAAGAAACATTGTACATGGGACAATGATGCCTCAGGTCCCCTTCAAAGAGGCCACCTTGGGACCTCACACCGTTCTCCCAGTTGCCACCAGCTGCCCAGCTGTATTTTCCTGAATCTCATCCATGCCCTGAAATCTTCTCTTTTTCAAAGGTGATTTTAGTTTTGAGAAAAGCCAGAATTCACAGGGCACCAAATCTGGGTTGTAGGGGGGCTGAGTCACCTAGGTGATTTGATGTTTCACAGAAAAAACTCTGCATGAGACACGATGCATGAGTGGGCAGGTCGTCATGATAAAGTTGTTATTTAGCAGTTGTCCACAGCTATGGCCTTCTGAATCACCCACATAGTTTCGTGGAGGAATGTTCAAGTTTAACACAAAATTTGATGCAGATTCATTGCTCTATCTTAGTCATTTTGAATGTGACAGGCACATAGGTCACGTGCTCACTGGATGACATCTGCCACCCCCACTGCCTAGTACAGGGAAGTCCTTGTGGTTCATGCACACATATCCCAGTCCACTGTCCTCGGCTGCCAGATTATGTCGATGCTGCACAAATTATTCTCATTATATTAACAATGGCTGGACTTTTTCTGGACAGACTTCATATATGACTAATTTCTGTTATAGTCTACCTCATTAGGAAGTTTAAGGGTATCTTTAAACAGAGCTGGTATTGCCTATTTTTGTTTTGATACTATGTAAATATACATAGCACAAAGCTACAAATATCATTTCATATTTTTGTTTCTGACTGTGGTGTAACTTTAATTGCTAGATATTATCCTCTCCACACGATTTCTTAGAATGCATCATAAAATGCTAATGATTAGCTGAAGTACATTTAAAAAAAGTAGATTTGGTAGGAAGAATAAAAAGGCATTTGGCTCAGCGAAGCTTGTCCCTTTTAACTCATTTTTTTTCTCCAGGATGGTATTGATTCTAATTGCTTTTTAAAAGACCCATTCCTTGCTTCAGTAACTTTGCCAGGTGAGCAAATAAGTCATTCCAAAAATAAACCCAAGGAACAGACTTCCAAGCCTGTAATCAATCTGATCATTACATTATTGAGACTAATATTTGGATTACACATATAGTATTTATGTGTTGAAGGAAGTGGCTGTGTATAAGACATATATTTATTTATGGATGATTCTGAGAGAAAACTGATTGGCATATACATGATTATAAACTGTAATACCCAAATTATCTAGGTTGCCTGACATTGACAGGATTAACCGGAGACTTTGTAAATCTCTCTTTTAAACTATTTTATGCCGATAGTCTCCATTGGAAATGCTACTTTCAAATTATGAAAAAGACACAGAAAGAATAGGGAATTTTCCTGCATCTAAGAAACTTGCGTTGAACATTAATTATTAATAATTGTATTGTGCTCGGCCTACAATGTTTTTAATACATATAGTAAATGACTAATACTATAGCTGTTTAATGTCACACATTAAAAAGACAATTGTCCAAAGACAACTGAAGTACAAAGACAATTGTACTTCCCTGTACTCTGAAATAATATCTTTAAACCTCCTTAACACAGCACACTCTGTTTTACAGTGTGGCAGCTGTAACAAAGCTAGCTGCCTGAGGAAAAGTTTTTTCCTCAAAGCAAAGATATTGTGGGCCCCTTTTGAATAACTCTTACTTTTAATCATATCATACTCATAAAGAAATTAAAAGATGGTAAATTTATAAATTCTAATAAAAAATTCTTCCTATTTTTCAGCATTCTTTGAAGAATTAAAAACCGATTTACAAAAACTAGCAACAAAGTATTGCTAAGAAATCTTTGCCTTTGACCATAAACATAAATATCTATACAAAAGACAGTAAGTACAGGGGGAAAAATCAATCTATAATTTTTGACCTAGCCTACAGCCAAATAAACTTAAAACAAATTCTAAAATGACTGACATGTTATGACTGGTGAGTTTCTAAATTGACAACCTCAGATTTTTTGAATACCCAATTTTAAAATTAGAAAAATGCATGACTCAGTCTTTGCCAGTTTGTTCTATGTTTCCACGCCTCTGGTCTATTTTGCTCTTTATTTTGTTCATTAGATTCCTCTTTTAGGTGAAATCATATAGTATTTGTCTTTCACCAACTGTCTTATTTCACTTAACATAATGCTCTCCAGTTCCATCCATGCTGTTGCAAAAGATAGGAGTTCCTTCTTTCTTTCTACTGCATAGTATTCCACTGTGTTCCTTATGGGGACCCAGTCCACAGCCTAGGCACGTGTTCTGACTGGGAACTGAACTGGCAAGCCTTTTATTCCAGGTCATTTTCTTCGCTGATACCAATGAGCTTTTTATAAATATTGCTCTACATTTAAAATCCCTTTTTAAAAAAAACTATAATAGCAGATTAAAAAAAAAACAAAACAAATCAGTAAAATCTAAGTGGTTTAAAGAAACATTTAAGAACTAAGCAAAATATAGTTTGAAAGTAAAACATTATACCATCCACACAGTAACTGATAAAAAGGTCTGGTATGCTATATTAATATCAGACAAATTGGAATTTAAGAAAAGAACCATTATTAAAGGGAGAGGTTTCACACTGAAATATTTTCAATCTAGTCTACTCCAGTTCTCACTTACTCAGAGCTTATCTACTTAAAATGAAAATACAGTGCTAGCTTTTTTTTTTTTTGTAGCTGCATATTTTTTAATCATTTAGAGGAAAAGGAAGTATTGCTGTAAATTCTTCTTAATGAATCCTTTCTGTTTAAAAGGACATCAAAAATTATACATAAAATTTCAAGGTTAATCATAAACAAATATCTATTCGCTTTACCTTTTTAACCTCATAAACCTTTTTTATTTTATTTTATTTTATTTTATTTTATTTTTTTATAATTTTATTTGGTTACTTTTCAAGTACATTTTTTTTTTTCCTCTTCCCCCCCCCCCCCCGCCCGGTCTCCCCCCTCCCTCCCATTCCCCCCCCCCAGTCCTCATCTCTGTGTCATTCATACTTGTTCCTCAAAATCCCTCCCCCTTTTTCCCCTTAAGTTCCCTTCCCTCTCCCCTCTGGTCGCTGCCCAGGCATTGAAGGACAAATACCATATGATCTCACCTTTGACAGGAAGCTAAAGAATAAAACAAATAAGCAAACAGAATAAAAACAAAGACGCTGAAATAGAGAACAGTGCTAGCTTTAAGTTAAGATCCAAGAGATAGCAAGCTGACCTGACTCACTTTCTCAGGCCGTGGTAGATCAGCAGAAGAAAGAAAAATAAATAAGAACACTATAAGGTAATATTTTTGTACTTTTTGTGCTAGATATTTATATTAGAATCAATCAATGTAAAGGTGTAAGAAAGATGGCTTGCTCAGATCAGTAACAAGAGAAGGAAGTCAGGGGCAATGTAAAAATCTGCATCTTAAGAGAAACAATTAGATTGCGGGATCCATTTGATAACTGGATCAGAATTATGTAAACTGAATTGTATATGAGTTTGTGCTTTTCATGGGGCTTCATGAATTCCAGTCCTCCTACTACATCATTGTTTTCTCCCAGCAGTACACAGTATTTCCCATTGTAGAAGTAGCCATTTGATGAGGTATAATGCATGCGGGTAAATAAAAAATACACCACTGCAAGCTGCTTTTGTCGTTCTGACACTAAATTATTCTGAAAGCAGCAATATATTATTGCAATATGAGTGTAAAATAAAATATCTTTTAAGATTTCTTTTTTTAAAGATTGTATTTATTTATTTTTAGAGAGGGGAAAGAAGGGAGAAAAAGAGAGTGGAATATCTATGTGTGGTTGCCTTTCACACACCCCCAAATGGGGACCTGGCCCACTATCCAGGCATGTGCCCTGACTGGAAATTGAACCTGAGTCCTTTTGGTTCTCAGGCTGGCTCTCAATCCACTGAGCCACATCAGCCAGGGCCAAAATAAAATACGTTTTATAAAAGTCAGAGTGTGTGCTGACTGTTTTTCAAAACTAAGTGCATCTTGCACTGGCAGGAATGACATCTGTCAGTCATTCTGTATAGAATGTTACTGAGTAAAGAAAGGCAGATCCACTAGGTATAATGAGTCCACTCAGAGAGCACACATTTACCATTTCCTTGTCGGGTAAAACGATTGCTTCACCATGAATGGATGCTTCAACAATAACACTGTTACTATACTCGTCACTAGTATAATTTTCTGTTGAATTCTAAAATCAATTTTAATGGACTTGTAAACTTTAAAATTAGTTTATAGATAGAGAAGGAGGGAGAGAGAAAGGGAGATGCTGTTTGTAGCATGGCCGAATGTTCACTGAGCCCCTTTTGTGCAGAATTGGGTTTTCTACTTGATTAAGATATAAATTATTAATATACATCTTAAAATAGTGGTGGTGGAATCTATTTGAAAATAAAGTACACAAGTTAGTATTGTAAATTATAATCAACTTTGTACTCAGTTTAGTTGGGCATTATGACTCATTATCTTTATAAAAATCTTTGAACTTGAGTTTTCTCATCTTATTTAATAATAGCACTTCTGTAAAAATTACAAGTGTCTATATGTATATTGCATGAACTAAATTATAAATAACACAAAAATATAGTGTACTTTGTTAAATGGCTTAAAATTTAATCATACGGTATGATTTAATATGATATGAACCTAACTATGATTTATACTTTTTTTCAGACACACTTTCTTCACTGGGCAAATGCCAGTGGACCAGGTGACATAACCTTATCCCCAGAACCAATATTTTAAAGTGATTTTGCCTAACTGTGAACGTGACTTGCTTGTCTTTTAGCAAAGGTAGTTTGACAGAGTATTTAAATTGAACTCATTCACCTACTCATTAGTACTAATTTTTCAAGGGCTGGGCACTGATTTGAATGCTTAAGTTTGCAAAGGCAATTCAAGCATCACTCTTACTTGGAGGGATGCAAAGTGCTTATGGAGATGTGCACCTATGCTAATAAATGTAACCTGAAAGTCCATGGAAAGTGCTATGTGACAAGAAATTAACATTAATTAACTTTGCTCATTCTGCAACAAAGTTCAAAAACTCATTTCAGGGTTTTTAAACAGAAAAGTGTGAGTGTGGAGAATTCTGAGTTGAATGAAAGCCATGCCAAGTGTGAGCATGTATGTGTTAGGGACAGGCAGTGCTCCATGTGGTTGGGCCCAGGCACTACTGAGACCAGTGTTAAAAGATCAAGCTGGGGAAGGCTTGTAGCACTGACTTGTGAAGAGCCATTACTGACATACTACATTGTCGATTTTATTAGTTTTTAAACATGGGTAAGAAGAACATAAGGGACAGATCTCCTATAGGCCTTTTATAATTAAAGAGTATTGTATAAAATGTCACCTACAGTTCTGCCACATTAAAAATACTCAAATATAATTATTTGTTCCTTATTATGAAGATGTCATAAATATTTCTTCCTTCTGAGCTAGTTTATGCTCTTCATTCCCAAAGATTCTACTCTGAGACTCTACCTTATTATATTAGTGGTACTTTGCTGTTGGATGGTGTGTGCATGTGTGTGAAGAACATTCATTACTAATATAAAGGATTTCTTTTTAAACTTCAGTCAAAAAGGTACACATGCTACCATTGTGCATGAGAATGCCCATATCAATATTTATTTTGAATGTCTCTATGAATAACTTAGTGATCCATAAATACTTTAGCAAATGCAGTGTATCATTACTCAGTACAATTACACCTTTTTTAATATTTACCTGTGAAACCTAGTGAAACATATACCTATAACACTGTGACAATTACCTACCAGGTTCAGGAGACAATCAGTTGAATGATTTCTTTATCTCATTCATATCATAGAAGGGAGACCATACAGCACAAATACAAAATACTCCATGTAAGGTGGAATATTTTGCTGATGGAATATTCCATGTATGACAGCAACATGACATTGTGTATTCACGTATTTCATTTTGCTTTGCATAAATGACCAGTAATAAATTCAAATGAGGAGAAACAGGTACATACTCTGAGGAAACCGTGGGGGATTGTCGTTGACGTCTGTCAGGGTGATGTTCACTGTTGTCGACCCCGAAAGCCCTCCAACTTGCCCAGCCATGTCTTTGGCTTGAATGACCACTGAGTAGTGTTCTCTGGCTTCTCTGTCCATGTTATGTAAGGCAGTTCTAATAACTCCTGTAACACATATTTAACAACCCACTGTGAGTTACACAATAAATGAGAACTAACATAGAAATATTTCTCTTTTTTTCTAGTTTTAAATAAAATACTTCTGAGAGATAAGCCAGGCTTCTGAGACAAAGAGTACCTGAACCATGTTACTAAATTGTCTAATTGGTACATTTACTACAGGCACATGTCACAAACCATTCTATTCATGGCAAAGGAAAACACCCATTTCCTCACCCCGTGGGGCAGACAAGCTCCCAGAAGGCACACTGCAGCAGGAGCTTGTTTGTTCTGTTGTGTGTTCAACATCCACAACTTGTGCTCCTCATCTGAGATGATCTGAGGTTAATTTTCCTCTTTACAGGACAAGTTATGTAGTTTCTTAACATGGTTGTCAAAGTTTGATAATGGCAACCATTAGAGAAGGGTGGATGCTTGAAGAAAGATTATAGGTGGGGGCATTTTAATTTATAAGGTCTCCGGAAAAGTCCAACCATTGTCAATATAATGAGAATGCTTTGGGTGACATGGCTACAACCTGGCAGCCAAGGAGAGTGTGCTGGAATGTGCATTTGTGAACAACGATAACTTCACTATACTAGTCAATGGGGGCGGTAGACACTGTTGAGTGAGCATGTGTATTGCGTGGCCATCACATTCAAAAGGACTGAACTAAAAGAGACACGAATCTGTGTCAAATTTTGTGTTAAGCTTGGATATTTTTCTACAGAAACTATTTGGATGATTTAGAAGGCCACAGCTATGAGCAAATGGTAATCAGGCAGCTTCATTACAACAAACACGCCTGCTCATGCATCATGTGTGGTGCCAAGTTTTTGGCAAAGCATCAAATAACCCAGATGACTCAGACTCCCTACAGCCCAGATTTGGTGCTCCGTGATTTCTGGCTTTTCTCAAAACTGAAATCACCTTTAAAAGGGAAGAGATTTTTCAGGAAAATACAACGGGGCAGCTGATGGCAATTGGGAGAACTTTGCAAGGTCCCAAGGTGCCTACTTTGAGGAGGATGAGGCATCATTGCCCTGTGAACAATGTTTCTTGTATCTTGTGTCTTCTTTAATAAATGACTCTATTTTTCTTCTTACATGGCTGGATACTTTGTGGTCAGACTTTCATATATCAAGACTAAGAAACTCACTACTACTTTTTTGTCAAAAAATAAAAATTATAAGAACTATATATAAGTACATAAGCAAAATAAAGAAAATGATGAGATTGCTTACAAAAATCACATGTGAACATTATATTGTTTATCTTATAAGGACAAAGGAGGCATTCAGTGGCCTTTTTCAAAAATTAATACTTAGATCCAATAAAGAAATAAAAATACTATATATCCATTTATAATTATACATAAGTAAACAGACACATACAAATTAGATAGCTTTGTTAAGAGAAGCCTAAATTTAAAAATGAAACACATTTCCCAGAGGATCAAGTTTACCCAAGCAATACTTACAAAGTCATAAAATTTTAAAAAACTGTCCTCTATATAGATGATCTATATTATTAATAAATATCTAAATAAATACATATAAATTATGTGGATGTAAACATATAATATAAAGTCTATGTGGTGCTCCAAACATCAGTCAGCATTTAGCAACCACCTTTTTACTTGTATTAAACACATCTGCCTCAAGTCACTTCGAGAAAGACACCAAAATGACTTCAATCAAACACACACTTGATTAATAGTTAACAGTGCAATTCACAGCATGATGCCAACTTATAATAACTGCTAACTATAGAGTTTAACACATTGGCAGACAATATCTTGATATAATGAAAGATAATTGGTTGTATAGTCAAGTTAAAAATAGTCTTTTAAAAGTGGAATGGAATAGTCAATCACTTGTTTTGAATATAGAACACTGAACAGTTGGATTTTTTTTAACTGATGTAATGGTTTGCACAATGAACTTTGAGGGGAGAGCCCCAGGCACCAGGAAAGCAGATACTGTGATTTAAAAATTTTTTGAATATATAATTGAAGAGTTCAGGAAAACTTTCCTGAAGCTAAATACAAATTAAAATTATTCTTATCAAACATTATAATATGATAATAAATGATTAATCTAATTTATGCATATAAAAAGCCTCAAGCATCTTTTTAAAAAAGGAACAATGTTTTATCACATATAATAATTATGTAAGAAATAATTAAATTGATGCACAAGTGACTGAGGTAAAATTTTGTTAATATGTGTCATGAGAAAATATGCATTTTCTACTATTTGAAACAGAGCAAAGATGCCATTGTAAAAAGAACACATTATAAGTGGGGGTTTCCTGTGGTGGGAAGAAGTATGGGATTGATATAGGGTGCAGCCAAGAGGGGGGCCCCAAAAGGGATTTGGAATGGGGTCTGGAACTCAAGGTGTTTAGAAAATATTGGAGAGACATGTAAGATGTCCTCACCACTTCCACCAAAGGTGTGAGCTGGGGGAAGGGACACAGGGAGCAGGAACATGCAGGGCTCTTTTGTACAGCCCCAGACTTGCAGCTAATCCATGGCATGGCCATTTAACATATCTATAGCCTTTGGCTGTTTGCTCTGTTTGCTTAGATGTACTAAATAGCTGTGGCCATGCTTGGAGCCAAGGGGATGGAAGTCACTTCCTTCATGATGTAGCTGGGGGGCAGGTCCCCCGAGTTACAGTGCATGCATGGGAGCTTGGAGAAGATTGGCTTCATGACATGAGGCCACCCTGGCCCAGACTCATGACGGCAGCCCAGTAAACTTGGAATAATACAGGAATGCTGGCAGGTGTAGCTGATTATAGGAGGAGTCAGAAATGGGGGTACGGAGGAAGATTGGCACGGGGATTTAAACCCAGACACAGCAGCCATTGAGAAGAGTACCACACAGCTTTGACAGAGTGTGGAATCATATACCTGGGGGTAGAGAGAATCACCATGCGGCTTTAGCAGAGAATCGCCACTCGGCTTTGCCAGAGTGGCAACCCTCTCCTCTCTGCAGCTTTGGAGGACAAGAGAGATCCACATGGTCTGGCCAGAGTGCAGACCCCTGCAGCTTTGGTAGAAGAGGCCCACACAGCTTCAGGTGCTCCCTTTGGACACATGGCCTGGGAAGCAGGAGAGACTTTGCCTGGAAAATGGGTACAAAAAACTCTTGCCAGTAGAACATGAGAAGGTGCCACATGACTGAATTAGTTAGAGATCCTGCCTGGACAGCGACACAGCTGATGGTGCCAGTGGCCTGGAAACATGGACATGTCCTTTTCCTGAGTTACAGTAGCCTGAATTAGGGCAGGGAGAGAAGGAAGCACTGTGTGCCTCTGTGGGTATCCTAAAGGACTTTGATATTTTAATAAAGATGTCAGGTCACTACTTTAAGTCTGTATAGCATTAAATAAACATTTCCTTTCCTTTTCCCAAATCTCTGGCATTGAGAGATGTCTTTACTATAGACCAGTGGACATAACAAACCTTGGCCCTTGTTGTTCTGCAACAGGATCACTGTCCAGGATAAGGCTTTATAGTGAAAGAATTAAAGTAACATTCTGCAGAATATAAATACATAAGTACAAGAAATCAATCATTACGAAATAAGTGCTAGGTGTCTATTTTATAAAAATTATAAGAACATGGAGAAAGGACTGAATGTGGGTGGTGGGAGGTGGGGGTGGGTAGAGTGTGGAGAGTGATGGGAGGGAATGGGGATGACTGTAAGTGAATGACAATAAAAAATTTTTAAAAATTATATGTTATTCATTTAAGAGAATCAGAAAAGAAGTCAGCACAACCCCTTGTTTTATATTGTATGGACTTCGTTGATGTCATTGCATTGCCATTATCTCCCTTCTTTTCTAATAGAGATACTTTTGAAACAAAATGGGGAGAAGCTTGTCAGTCAAATTTGCATATGGAAAGGAAAGAGCACATCCAGAATCAGCATATACTTCTCAGATTGATTGTCTACAGATCCATTTAAATTCACAACTCTCTTGAGAATGGCCTGGTCACATGGGCTGGCTATGACCTCCCATGAGGACACAGAGGTAACTGGGACTGTTACAGCCGAAATTGCCATAACAACACGATGCCAGTACACAACATTCCCTTTCCAACATGTAGCTCGGATTCTCATAAGCAGGATGGCTTAGAACACTGTCATACACAGTACTTATTTTCTTTAAATAGATGGCAGTTACAGCATAGGTCCACAACAAATTTGAGGAGAAAGTACAAAAAGTTACCAGGTACCTCTTCCTGCCTATACACAGTCTCCCCCACTATGAGCACCCTGCACCAGAACGGTTCATTTGTTACATCTAATGAATCCATATTGACATATCTTTTTCAGCCAAAGCCCATAGTTTCCTTTAGGGTTCACTCTTGGCGGTCCATGATCTTGGACAGATGTCTAAATGACGTGTATCCAGCAGTAAAGTATCACACAGTATAGTTCATCTGCCCTAAAAATCTTCTCTGCTCCACCTACTCATCTTCCCTCTGCTCGGCCTCTGGAAACCACTAACTATTTTAGCATCTTCATAGTTTTGCTTTTTCTAGAATGTCGTATAAGTGAAATCATACAGTGTGTAGTCTTTTCAGATTGGCTTATTCACCTAGTAATAAGCATTCATGATTTGATGGCTTATTTCATTGTAGTGCTGAATAATAGTCCATCATCGATGTAACACAATTTATTTATACATTTACATATGGGAGGACATTTTGGTTGCTTCTCAGCTTTGGAAATTATGAATAAATGGCCATAATAACTCTGAATAGGTTTTTGTGTGGACATAAGTTTTTAACTTCATTGAGTAAATATCAAGGAGTGTGATTTCTGGAACTTATGGTTAAAAGTATGTTTAGTTTGATAAGAAACCTCTCTTCAAAAGTGGTATTGGAAAACTGGACAGATACATGCCAAAAAATGAGACTGTACCCCTCTTAGACCATATACAAAAAGAAACTCAAAATGGGCTAGTCTTAAATGTAAGGCCTAAAAC